GCCAAAGTCCAAGGAAATTTAAAGTGAAACGGTTTAGTTTCACCGCCCATTCGAAATCTGCAGTAACCTTGATAAGTCCGAAGATCGTTAAGAAGATTACATAATTAAAAATATAGAGGAAAGTCACCGATACCGACATACCACTTTGTTTTTAGACAATATTTCTTAAACAAAAGATAAAAATAAAACTTTAAAAACATAAATACAAATTAAAAAATATCTTCCATTAAATAGTATAAGCAGTTTTTATAATACTGTTTGTAATTTTGCAATAATTAATTTTTTTATTAGGTAAGCAAAAATGAGTCTGACAAAATGGGCTCCAAAATTGACTCAGTAGGCAGTAATGCTACGTATTCCTATTCTTTTTCTTTTACAGGAATTATCTGTATAAAGTATTTACAAGTGAATGTATACAAGATATTCCAAAATCTTTTCACTTTGTTACAAAACATTTTTATTGAATTATATGCATATTTAATATAATGCGATAATTTTTCAAGTTTTTCCACATATGCATGATTGTCTTCAGCTCCAATAGAACTATTTGACACTATAAAACAACAATATAAAGATTAAGTTAACTCATGATCTGTTTTATAGACAGGTGGCTGTTTATGCTGCACTCCAATTTTAAATTTAAGATCGTATTATGAAAAAATTAAGAGAAAAAATAATATAAATAAACAATATTAAGAATCTTTATTTTAGACCGCATATGTAAGAAACACAATCAATACTAGAAATTTAAAATGCCTATTACGGTCGAAGCTAGATCTTCATTGCTTTAAATAATTCAATCTTGAATTACTAATATACACTATATATGTACTTGCATATATACCATATTGTAGTCTTTTAGAAGTAAGTAGTCATTTAGTTGTTTCCTTATTGTACTGATTATTGCGAAGAATATTACTAAGGCCTCGGTGGTCTAATGACTTAGGACGCTCGTACGAAATACAAGAGATCCGGATTCAAGTCCTGGCCGAGGTAATATTTTTCGCAATAAATTTGTTAATAGTTTTAACATATTAACATTTTTATAATATGATGCTTGAAGGTAGTATCAAATTATTTAAATTGTTTATCAATTTAATTCGCGATTACTACAGTGGTTTCAATTGCGTTTATAGTCCGGAAAAACAATTCGGCGCGCAGTTCTAAAAGACTACAATATTGTGTATATGTAAGTACATATATAGTGTATATTAGTAATTCAAGATTGAATTATTTAAAGCAATGAAGATCCAGCTTTGACCATAGTGGATATTTTAAATTTCTAATATAAATAAAACTGATTTAGGAAATTACAAGCATTTAAAATGACGTAATATTATTAATAATATCGTCACTATTATTTAAACTATGCAAATTGCAAAAGAAAATTGTAAGAATTTTATTTTCGCATTTGTAGAATTCGTTTTTAACTGATTCAGTATAGAAACAAGCCACAAATACACGAATTATGAGTTTGTACTTCTTTAATTATTAGGTGTTGAACTTAATTCCTGCCGCTCGCTTAATTTAAAACAATGTTCCACACCTTTAAAAAATCTAAAAAAAAATTTTTATAATGTAATATGCTAAAAAGTTTGACACCCTTTTTAGCATATTACATTAAAAAAAATTTTTTTTTAGATTTTTTAAAGGTGTGGAACATTGTTTTAAATTAAGCGAGCGGCAGGAATTAAGTTCAACACCTAATAGCTTAACAGATCATGATTTTATTAGTATTAATAATTGTTAGTTTCTGAGAAATAAAGGGATGTCACTTTAAGAGACCTATGTCAGTATCGGCGACTTTCTTTTACTATAATACAACACCATAATTAGGCCAAATATATAAAAAGTTATTTAATGAAATACATTTAAAATAATATATCGCACAATTTTTGCTTAGAAGTTTAATCATGTAAGTTCAAAAATTGTTCATAAAAGGAAACAAATAACTAATAATAAATATGATTGAGCTTAAATGTGCCGTAACTAGCTAATAGGTTACATGTCATTTAATAACATAATGCAAATATTAATGTATCTACATATGGGGCATTCCATCCCAAGTATGCTACCCGTGAACTTTTGGATTTTTGATTTGGCTGAAATTTTGATATATTATAGTACCCATCGGAAGAAGCTACCATGATTTTTTCAATTTTTTTTTCATTTTTTTCAAAATTCGCAGTTCCAATTTTTGAATGCCTATAACTTTGCGAAAAATAATCCAAATGAAACTTTTTTTTTAATTGTTTGTTTTTTCTCTCTGCTTTAAAAGAAAAAATATCAAAAAAAGTTTAAAAAATTTTTTAATCTTTTTTTAGTTTGAAGTAAAAAATTATTAATTGTATAAATTAATCGAGCTCTCAATATTAAAAACAATATTACAAAAACAATAGGCAACTAAGAGCTAGTACACAGTTATTATTAATGTACGTTACAATTCTTCTTTATTTTTTATCTGTACGTATATTTCCAACGTTTTGACTGCTTTTTTCAGCCATCTTTAGGGTATAACATTCGGCTTAATAATTTAAATGCAATTACTTTGAATGTAGGCGCGCAATTAGTCAACCTAGAGTAATTCTCCATTTGATCATATGAACGGCTCTTCTTAACAAGTCAAGATTTGTAAGATCTAAATACAAAATCCCATTCTATATTAACGAAACTGCTTTCTATATTCATTCCATTTAAAAAACTCACCATTTTTACTAATAACTTGCACTTCCATCCTGTTGCACACAATTAAGAATACAAATTATATAAAATTTGTCGATTAGACGTGTGTCTACGTAACGTTTAAAATTATAAATTGATATGTAGGTCAATATAACATTGAGTTAAAATAAAATAGATACAAAAATAAAATCAGTTTGACAAACATACCAATAATCTAACGAACAAAATATATAACATTTTTTTAAAAAACATAATACTAATTATTAAACTGATTAAGAATTTATGTGTACCCATGGTGAAAAAATTCGGTGTCCGTCTGTAAATTGAGCGCATTCATTTGGAATTTTATGTGTATCATTTCAGATACTAATCTCTTCCTAAGATTTCTGTCTCTATCTATCATTTTGACATTCTCCCAATCTATCGCATGATTATACTGCAACCCATGTTCAGCTATGACAGATCTAATGCCATTGTTCTTGCGTAATTAGCTCTTATATTTGGCCTACATTCAGAATAATTGCGTTTAAATTTTGAATTATTAAGCCTAATGTTATACCATAAAGATGGCTGAAAAAACCAGTCGAAACGTCGAAAATATATATACAGGTGAAGAATAAAGAAGAATTATAACGTACATTAATAATAACTGTGTACTAAAGTCATCAATTTTTGAAAGTATGACACATTTAATTTTTTTCAAAAAATTCTCATAAAAACTTTAATTAATTTAATAATTTTTAAGACTAGTTTGATCATGGGGAAGCTTTTCCTTCTATTTTTTTCAAACAGATTTTAATAATTTTATAATTTTTCGTTTTTCTTTTAAATGACTAGATAGCAAATGTGACAATCTGATGAGCGATGTGATTCTACTTATTAACGCAATGTATGTGATTACGGTTTTACTTTATGTATGTTTTTATATTATTACTGTATGTTAGTATTTTTGATAATCATTTGAAATCATTCTCATGATAATAGACGTTGACAAAATTTTTGAGGTTTTTTTCACGAGCTAATCTACAATTACCAGTTAATCAACAAATACCCACACCATTCGAATTGTATGCATGGGCTTCAAAACCAAGCAATATTCCAAACATAATTGTTTATTTTTAATCATTGGAAGATTGTACTGAAGTTGCAGGAAAATTTAATGATCAATATAAAAATACAAAAACAATTTCAAAAATTACATTGCATCAAACTTAACAAAAATAGTATTAAAAAAAATTGTATTATTGTAAAAGAGTATTCTAATTCTGAGGAATCTAGAGAGTATGCAAATTGTTTAAACATTTAAGAAAATAAATTTTGATATTTTCTCGACAAAAAATATTTATTGGCTTTTTAATTATAAAAAAATTCCCCCAAAAAATTATAAAAATGTCAAAGTTATTTATTACACTGAGAATAAACTAAAAATTATAGGTCATGACAAAATCATAATTTCATATTATGTTATTGCGTGAAAAATACAAAATTAAAAAAAAATTTTTGTTTAAATTCGAAAAAAAATAGAAGGAAAAGCTTCTCCGACGATCAAACTAGTCTTAAAAATTATTAAATTAATGAAAGTTTTTATAATTTAAAAAAAAAATTAAATATGTCATACTTTCAATAATTGATGATTTTTTACTTCAAACTAAAAAAAAAATTTTTTAATTTTTGAAACTTTTTTGACTTTTTTTAAAGTAGAGAAAAACCAAACAATTAAAAAAATGTTTCATTTGGATTGTTTTTCGCAAAGTTATAGGCATTTGAAAATTGGAACTGCGAATTTTGAAAAAAATTCATACCTCATGACAGTCATGACTATATTGACCAAAAATATTTAAAAAAAGTCACGGTACTTTCTTTTCCGATGGGTACTATAATATATTAAAATTTCAACCAAATAAAAAATCCAAAAGTTCACTGGTGGCACACTTGGGATGGAATGCCCCATATATTAAGATTAATTCAGATATTAATAAGAAACACGATACACTATAAAAAGCGATAATTCAAAATTTCTATTAATGATAATATAATAAGACATAAATCATTATTATTACAAATACTTTCACTCATTGCACATATTGCAAGTAACATAAATACTTCCTTAAAATTTTTATTTATAGCTACAATGATCAAGACTATAAGCACCTCGGTCATATTTCAAACTTTCCATGTCCAATGTTCTCTAAAGACTGACGTCTTTTGCCTTTTTCATTATCGATATTACCTCCTGAACAGCAAAAAACGTTTCTCGTGCGCATGTTCTTAATATTCCTTCTTGAAAGTACGGAACAATCGACTTGTAACAAGAAGTTTTAAATCTGCGTTAACTTTTGTTTCAAATTTTCATCAAATTTGCAAGAACTTCGCGTGAGACATTTGCGAATAAAAAGTTGCAAATTGATCATGCTGTTGGAAAAAGCGGCTGTACGTATGTTATATTCCCAGCGTTTGGAAATGGCTATAAAATTCTAACTGTAATTAAGAAGAATTCATATTAAGTATCACAATACTTATGGGATGTTGATTTTTTAATAGAAAGAATATATTCGCAAATTGCATTTCATTTATTTGTTATATAATACGATGTTATTGAAAATCAAAGAATTTTAATATGTAATAATTATAAGTGCAAAAAAATGTGTCCTATAATTAATACATTCATCCAAAATAATATTTAATTCATAAAATTTATGTTAAAACTCATTTGAAATATATAACTCCTGTGAAAAGAAAAGAATAGAAATATGTGACATTATTGCCTTTCGCACGTTTCTGTGTATTTTAAATAAACTAAAAAGTTAATGATTGCAAAATTGAAAGCAGTATTATAATAACTACTATATATCTTATAGAAAATACTTTCTAATTTATATTTATGTTTCTAAAGTTTAATTTTTAGCTTTTGATTGAGAAATATAGTCTAAAAACAGTGATATGATGGTATTGATGAATTTTCTTTACATTTTCATTGTCACTTCTAATGCAAACGATACACAACAAGGCGACAATTTTAAGCTGTAAAATACTTTATTTAGACATATAACAAAATATTTTTTATTAACAAATATTTTTAATTAACAAACAGAAAAAGTGAGTAAACTACAAATATGGAATAATCATGAACGGTATTATATTGTAATTACTATAGTGTATCGCTTGGAGATTGTCCGACCAAATTTATACGTTATGTGTGCGTGCACGCAATAAGTACATATGTGTGTATCTCTCTCTCTTTCTCTCTTTCTCTTGCTCACCTCTTCACATATCTATTTTATGATATATTATTATATTAGACCACTGTAGTGATTTTGTTACTCATAGCGACAAGTATGGAAAGTGAGAGTAACCTTTTATTTGATGTAAAACAATACATACAGTGAGAGCAAAAAGTATTCGTACAAGGAAATTTTTTATAAAAAAAGTTTTATTTGTAGAAAATAAACATTAATTAGCAATTTTACACAATGAATACATTCTGTTCTAACATAAACAAATGAGCTTCGCATGTATTTCTGATATTATAAGCTAAATTTCTCGACCGTACGAATACTTTTTGAGCATCCAAACAATGAAACTTTTAATTATTTTCGCTTATTTTTCAGATGATATAGTTTCTATAATTAATACACATCTTTTTGATATATATAATTTTAAGAAACATACAGTTTATTTTATACTTTATGAATAAATTCTTAATTATCTTTTAATTGTTAATTAGCAAGAAATGATCATCAATTAAACGTCGAATCGACGTCGAATTGGTGTTGAAATCATTGTATCGATATCGATTCGACATCAATTCGATGACTCATTTCTCTCTGGATAATATTTAATTTTTAAAAATAAAGTTTTTTTTAAAAAATATTTTCTCTTTAGGAATACTTTTTGTACTCACTATATATTTAAGCCCTGTCGCGGTCATTTGAAGAAGAAATGGATTTTTCAAAATATTGCAGATTTTGATCTTTTTACTGAAAACGTCAAGGTTGAATATTGTTGCACTCGATAGTTAATATATCCTTATTCCAAAACAGGCGGACTCCCATACTCCTCAGAAGAGTGCAAGGAATCACCATACTGGGTCAAAGTGGTAAATTTTTTCTGAAAAAAAATCGATAGCGACAAGGTTGAATTTTTGTCTACTACTTAATTTTGATATCAATTGTCGAGAAATATGGTTCCCATACCTTTTAGATGGTCACGAAGGCCATACCTACTCGAACACGTACAATTTTCTTATTCCATGTAAAATTAAGTAGTAGACAAAAATTCAGCCTTGTTGCTATCGATTTTTTTTCAGACAAAATTTACCACTTTGATCCAGTACGGCGATCCCTTGCATCTTTCTGAAGGATATGGGAGTCTGCCTGTCTTGAAATAAGGGTATTAACTATCGATTGCAGCATTCAACATTGACGCTTTCAATAAAAAAATCGGAATCTGCAACATTTTGAAAGTCCACCTCCCCTTCAAACGATTACGACTGGGCTTAAATATATATGTATTGTTTTTATGTTTTACATGAAGTAAAAGATTACTCACTTCCCATACTTGTCGCTATGGGTAACAAAATTCCTAAAGTGGCCTCTTAGTCTATATAGGGCTCCTGCAGACGAGCGACTTTGTAGCGCCACAATCGAAAGCGCTGACCCGTTCATACGAAGGTATTCTGTGGCGCTACAGAAAAGTGTCGCGAATATGTTCATATGAGTCACATTGTGGCGCGACAAGAAGCGATGCCCATCTGAACGCATCCGCAACGCTTCTGAACATATTCACGACACTTTTCTATAGCGTCACAGAATAGTTCCGTATGAATGGGTCGACGCTTTCGATTGTGGCGCTACAAATAAGTCGCTCGTCTGTAGGAGCCCATACTGTAATTAATATCATCAATTGATATTTGCTGATTTGATTAAAAAATGGATATTTTTAAATTAAAACAGAATTAAATTTAATATATATTATATATATATTTTAGAATGCTTCTTATTATCTAATATAATTCCTAACACATTTTTATCAAATCATACAGTATATAAACTTTGTAATTTATTTGTCATAACATTTTAATATTTATACAACTTTGGATTATTGCATTTTATAAAAATAACGTATTCAAAAAACATTTAGATTTATTTTATTTTTCTAATGATTTCTCTCTCTCTCTCTCGTTGTATGCAAAACAGATATATATCCCCGACTGATGTTTTTATTAATTGAAAAAAATACTTTTAGTAATAATTAATAATATGGATATGTAATCGAAATTTAAGACGTACATAATGTATACATAAAAAAAATAAACACAATCAAAACAGAGCATGCAGCCACAACGCCAAATAGTATTTGCGAAAGTCAATTTATTCAATTACATTAAACCATGAAATTAAACGTTTCGGTCACTATTTTTATCATCAGTAATAAAGTAAATTCTAACAAATTCAAAAAACAATAAAGAATTATGCATTTTAATGTTTGCGTATAATCAAAAATAAAACTAAAATGCCTAAAATATACATAAAATAAAATATTTAGAAGGTTTTAAATTATTATAATGTGAAATTATTACATATATATGAAATATCATTAAAACCATTTAAATGCTTTTTTTATAATAATTATAATTAAACACAAAAATATCTTACACTGCAAAATGTTGTTATTGTCATGGGGAACATTTTTCCAGCAGTGAGATAAATCGGTTCGGCACCTCTTATTAACAAAAACAATAAGTCTTGTGCAATTTTTGTATCCACGGAGTACCATTCATTACTGTAGGCTGCATAATATATTTCATTACACTAAAGAATATTGAAAGCATTTTTGGATAAAAACTGTATCAATATATTATTTCTTAAATAAATTCATTGATTATAAATCAATTTGTATTGTTATTTAAAATGTAAACTAATATATTCATATAAATAATAAATGCAATGTAAATTATTTATTAATTTTTATTTTTTCAATAGTTTACATTAAATTTTCATTTAATTTTTTAATATAAATTATGTTATCAATATATTTTTGATATTAATTTTCGCTATTTGCGTGTGAAAAATAATAAACTTTATTGTTCATTAATAATAATAACTTTGTTAAATAAAAAATATATGTATTAATATATAAAGCGTCGTACATACGACGTTTATAAAAGTAAAAAAACGAAAACGACTTACTTGGGTTACTAAAAACTCTCCAAGAGCACAATATAGATACATATGTGTAAATAAATTAATAAGAAATAAATACAATAAAAGTGCATATAAGAGTCAATTACAAAATTATATTATTTATTAAAAACCAAAATATTACAAAATAATATACTATATTCTAATCAATCATAATTAAATTTCGCTATAATATGTTTCGGTCTTTAAATTAGACCCTCTTCAGATATTTACTAAATACAAAGATGTTACCATAATCTAACAGTGTTGATAGAAAAGAAATACATCATAAATGCATATCGTGAGAACAATTGAACGTTGCACAGAGGAACGGAAATTCCTCACCAAAAGGTTGGAAGGCCAATTGAAAAGAATTTCATGACGTTCTAATAAAATTATAAATTTCATTAATTATCATCTCATAAAAAGCAAGCAAATACGTCACCTTAGTAGAACACTCACCAATATGTCAAAAATATTAATACAATTCGAGATGATATAATACTCGTCAGCATTCCATTAGTCAGTGTGATAATAAATAATATATAGCCGTAGTCAGAAAATAAAATCCACAGAGTCATAAATTATGTAAAATTGAATTCTTCAATAAATAAACGTTAAATAAAATATGAAGAGATGTAGAATCAGTTCAGGAATAAAATTAAAAATAACTGTTGCGACAGAGAAACAAACACCGACTAACAGAAAAATAATTAAACTAGTATGATCTTAGTAATGCAAAGTTAGACCTTGCTTACAATCGAAATGTATGCTTTACGTAAGCCCTCAGTATCAGTTTGAAGACTATTTTTTTTTGTTTTTTAATATGAAGCATCTCAGAAGTTAACTCTTGCTATAACATGGTTCCTCGTCAAGAATTTCAATATTATTCCAATCAAAATCATGTTCACGACCTAATCTATGCTCGGTTATAACTGAACGGGAAGATGTGTTCCAGCGTATACGATTTCGATGCTCTGCGATTCGTGTTTTTAGCTGACTACCAGTCTGTCCAACATACGATGCGTCACAATTATTACAATTAATCTTATAAACTATATTATTTTTAGAAAGACGAGGACGAGGGTCTTTATGTATTTTGATGTATTTCTGTAGTTTATTCGAACTATAAAATGAGACTTTAATATCATTCCTATTGAATTGATTAAATTTTTCTGTTAAAGACGAAATAAAAGGCACTGTGAACCATGATAAAACTACCGATGGATCATCGTTCTTCTTAAATCAATCAACCGACGCTGTACTTCTATAACTCTGATGTTTTTTAGTCTCTTATTAATTGTATCAAAGATAAGTTTGAGTGAATAATCATTATTCAGTAAAAAATTTATTATAAATGTTAAATTTGTTATGTAGAATTCAGAATCTGACAGTAAGATAGTTCTATTCACCAAACTGATAATTATCCTCTTTTTTTTTAAATAATGGATGGTTAGAGAAAAAATTTAAAAATCTACCTGAAAACCTAGGTTTATGATACCAGTCAAAAGTTAAAAGATTATCTTTAATAGTCATTTTAATATTTAGAAAATTTAATGAGTTTTTACCAACCAAGGTGAGAGTTTTAGACGCGGATGGAACGAATTGAAACATTCCAGAAAAGTAACAACCTCAGATGATGGAACCGCAGCGCATAAGTCATCGACATATCAAAAATAAAAAAGTACATAATCCTTAAATATTATACTCAATGACATTTTCTCTAATCTTTGCATTACCAAATCAGCAATAATAGATGACAAAGGAGAGCCCATGGGCGTGTCAACATTCTGTTTGTAAATAATATTATCAAATAAAAAATAAATGAAACCTAAAATTAGTCGAACTGCAATCAAAAACTCCTTTTTAGGTAAATTACATTTTTCCGAAATAAAATTCCAGTTGTCGTTGACACAATCTAAGGCTATGTCTGTCGGAATATTTGTAAAAAGTAAAACCACATCTAAAAATTAATTATTATAATGAAATTAATTTATAATTGTCAATATGTATTCCTCTGAGCCCATCAACGAGTTGGAAACTATTTTTTGTATAGCTTTCCGCTTTTGGAATTGTCTCAAATATTACGTTATGTAGAAAAGAGGCAAATAAATTAAAAAATGTAGACATAAATAATACCAAATGTGTGAGTGATAAATCATTTCCTTCGCCGGTATAGTTATATGAATTTATAAGATGCGTAATAGAAGCATTTTTATAATTAAAATTTAGATATTTAAAATAAAATATCTTATAAATATAATAACAATAGTATTTCTTCTATTTAGATATTTTCGTTAATAATTTTGTAAATTTATTTTTGTATTTAAAATTAATTAATAAATAAATTTTCACATTTTTAAGTATTTGCTTAAATATTAACTTACGTTGATTATGCGAAAATCATAGAAAGCAAAAAGTATTATAAAGTATAGAAATAATGAGAGAAGTGTTACATTATATGTATCTTCAATAATAGCAATGGCGCTCTGTACAAGATATTTTATATTAGATATCAAACAAAAATAAATTATATGAATAATTATTTTATCATATATATTTTACAAATTAATTATTATTGTAAATATTTTCGAAAAATATACCTAAGTAAACGATCGAATGTATTGTGCCACGCATATATTTATATATAACATGTGAGAATTAATATATTTATCCAAATTTATCAAATGATTTTTGAGAATGTTCAATTGGCCGGATATATGGAAAACTAGTAGCCCAAGAAAATGATCGATTCCAGTATTTCATGCAGCTGATAAAAGCTGGCGTTTTACCCCCACTCCATCAATTTTCGTACACAGTGACATTACGCTTAAAGTTCGATATTGTTCAACTGATGTTTATGAATATTTATGTGTATTTATGTATGTTTATACATATTTATAGATATTCATGCATGAAAAATTTTTTACCCGATGTTGATATAAGTATATACATTTTTTCTTAATAACAAGCAATAATAGAAACAAGAAATAATGGATAATTTAGTTTTTAAATAAATAATTAATGATTATGCATTACATATGTATATACATTTTTTCTTGATAACAAGCAATAATAGAAACAAGAAATAATAGATAATTTAGTTTTTAAATAAATAATTAATGATTATGCATTACATGTATGCAGATGCAATACATGTATCTACATATAACATAATTATCATCTGTATAATTATATATATGTTACATATATAATTATGCTATAACACATAGTGTTGTGAAAAAAAATTTACGTACATATATAACTTACTTACATGCTGCAGATATTCAAATAAAAATCTCATTTTTTTTGTATTTAGATAATATCATTGTGAAGATTGAGTTGCTATTTTCAAAGTAATCAATTCGTTGCAGTGGTCCATCATCAATCATTGTAATAGTTATTGAAATAAAGAATCATTTTCTTGAAGACTTAAGTGTGTCATATATTTGAATTTATTAGAGTATAACTTTAATTTGCTATATATAGATACTAAAGAGGAGATTTAAACCAAATTCCCTATCTTTTTTAATACAATTATTTAGTATTATATAATAAATTATTTTTCATTCATTGAAAAATATTTGTCGCATGTACAAGGTATTTTACTTATAATTAACTAAGTATTTTTGTTGTACCAATTAATTTATTTCATTATTCTATACATGAAAGTATTAAAGTACGTTTATTTAAAAAATTATAGTTTAAAAGATATTTTATACTTTATCCTGGTACATAATTTTGACATAAAGTATCTCATGAACTATATGACTTTTTTACATCTTAATACTTTTATATAGGTAGAATAATTAATTATAGGAATCACACTATATAAAAAAAGATAATACAATTCCATTAAAAAAATAACAATGATTTTTACATGATTATAAGAAGTTTTTTTTCGAAAATTTTGCTGTTATTTCTATTTTAATAGCATATGTGCAAAATAATAACATCGTTAAATTATTGATAAATTCATTACGATAAGCACAGCATCGTGAAAAGTCAATAATAGGATTATTGAAAGAGCAAGGAGTTCTAATTTTTATAATCGAAATTTTCCTATATATAATTATAGTAATTCAATATATGTGATAATGAGATTATTAAAAATAGATGGGCGAGTATAAGACGTCACCATCATAACATTGACACATGCTATTTGGCAAACGTATTATTACCTATAGGTGCGTTGTACAAACATGTTTTTATTATATTATATTATCATCTTCGAACGAGACTCCGTATAATTGGAGTCGAACTTTGACCGCCCTTGGCGGGCTCGTTTGACTATTCAATTATGTATCGACTTGCGTCTGGTGTCTCCTAAGTATGTAATCATACACAACCGATCATGCATGCGTGGGAATATATCACATGTATAGTATTGTATTTTTGTAATTCTTGTTATACGTATAATCAGACATTATGTAAGTATAGCGCATTATTGTATAATTTAGGATAAACTCGGGTATGATGGCCATAGTTTTTTTTAAAATGCAAAAAACATACATTTATTCTTGTTACTTTTTAACAATATTTGGGATATTACTTTTACTGAAAGTAACAAATACTATCGAAATTAAAGAGAAAATACTTAACAGAACTTTAATTTTATCAAAATTTTACAAAGTATGCATTGGCCATCTTATCTAATTTTTAGGAAAAAGATGGCCATGATATTAAGAAAGATAACCATAGTATTTATAAATAAATAGTGAAAATAAAAGTATTAATTATAGGTCACTTTGCAATTTACGTAC